TAGGTTTCCTGTGTTTTTCTTCCTTCATTATCACCAAGGACATTCCATGAAAACAGAATCCTGCCGTCCCCCCCAAATACCCACACTCTTCCCTGTTAACTGGCTTTCCCTAGCCAAAGCCCTTCTAGTGACATCACAGGGAGTTCCAGGGGTCTGTCTAGTGATGTCATAAGAGTCCACTGGAGAAAATTTTTAGGCTAACAAATTTAGCTTGAAGCCAAGCGGCTGGCTGACCCCATGCAGCGTGACTGCAAGTTTCCATGAAGACACTGCCTCAGGCTCCACTCCTTCCCCCAACTCCACTCCCCCTCACCCCCAGTTCCACGCAGTCCCTAACCTGCTGGCTAGTACTGAAATAGCAAAGTTATTAGGCTGCGAGCTTCAACCATGGCAAAGGCAGTGGATGTGACTTCAGTGTTTCCATGAATGTCATTACCACCAGCCCTCCAACTCCCCATAAAAAAACACCTCCCCACCTGCTTGCTGGGATCGAAAGAGAAGAACTAGAGTTTCATTCTCTTAACTTTAATCTCCAGTAAAATATAAATGCTTCTTTCAGAAGTTTCCATTACGGGGACTGCATTTCAGAGCCTTCCCTAATGGGTTTATAAAGGTCAAGTGGGAAAAGATTGTTCCCACTCCTCTCTCAACCCTCTCTCCCAGCAACTGGAGCTGGAAACTTGGCCATCTCTACTCCAGATTTAGGGCAGAATTAACAGAAGGAGCTACCCGCGTGACACTGTCTCCCACTTCACTCTAAACCTTAGCTTTCATAACAAGGAGCCGGTCTCACTGCCCCAGACTCTATCTCCACTGTCAACTCTTGCTACAAGTCCTCTGTCTCATTCAGGCCAACGTGAGTACTTACACTGGTAGCCTGCCCAGAACTGTGTCCCTCCAGGAATGGAAACACACCTTGGCTTTGGTTGTGTGCTGGAGGAGAATGAAATCCAATTATTTAAATTCATTGCTCGCAGAGGTAAAGCCACCGAGCAGGGCAATAAAGCAGGGCCACGTGTGAAGTGAGCCATGCCAGGCGTTCCAGGCTACCCAGCTCCACCGGTTTCTAGCTGTGCAATTCGCAGTGTGCACACTTACTTCTATGAGTCTTAATCGACTCTACAGCATCTAACAGCAACTACCACCTCGCTGGGATGCGGGTTCCTTAGAGGTGTTCTCTCATTAGGGCAGAAAATTGCACGGTATCAGAGCTGAAAGGGGCCCTTGTGGCACAGAGTGTTACATGCCTGAATGCTTTTGCCAAAGGATGACTGTTCAAATCCACCAGTCACTCCTCAAGAGGAAGGTAGGAGTCTCTCCCATTAAAGATGTGTTGTTGTTGGATGCCATCGAGATGGAACTGACCCCAAGCTGACCGTCCAGCGAATATTTAGAGGGAAGTTAATCGCACGGGAGGAGATCGCCCATCCTTCTCCCACTGAGCACCTGGTGGACTTAAACCGCGTGCCTCTGGGACTGCAGCGCAGCTTCTTCTCACGAGCCCATTGGGGTTTTCTCCTTAAAGATGTAGAGACTCCTGAACCCAAGGGGAGGCTGCCATGAACTGGAATTGAATCAAGCAGTGGGTATGGTTTGAGCTGGATAAATGTTAGCCATAAACATGATAAATCATGGCAAGAATCAAGTTGCTAATGTAAGAACTGGTGTGAAAACTGACACATATCTTAGGTGTTCCCACCTTCTGTTCAGATGTGTGCAGCCTGGAGGGATGAAACATGCCTGTCTGCCTCGGTGGCAGCCACAGGTCTGGACTCCGAGGTAGCCTACCAGGCTGCCTTGTCAACCCTAACAAACGTGTCTGCCCCTGGTCCTTCTCACTCTGCCGTGAGTCACTGTACTTCACTGGACCAGGCACCGCCGTGGCTCAAAGAACCGCAGTGGCCGGGAATTCAGAGGGAAAGAAGGAGGAGGGTGGGGGAGTGAGAGAGAAATGGGTCCATGACTGTGTGTCAGTCAGCAGCACTTTGTAAAATCATTGAAAAGAGCATTAATATGATTTCTCTCCAGGTAGCATCATGAATAAATAGAAAACACCCTTTTGGGGCCTGAGCAATATGCTTGTGATAAATCTCAAACAACACTGGTTACTGATGCGGACTCCAAGCTGAGGAAGAAGGGTAGGGAAGATGCTGACATGACAAATAAAACAGATACTTCTTATATATTAAATATGTGTGTGTATATAATATATATAATAAATATAAATATAAAAATAAAATAATATATATTCTATAATAATATATTTTATAATTTGTTATATATTGTGTATAAATAATATATAATAAATATGTTTGTTATGTGCCGTCGAGTCACTTGCGACTCATAGCGACCCTATGTACAACAGCCCTAAACTCTGCTCTGTCCTGTGCCAATCGCACTGTCTCCGACACACCCATCCCGATTATCCCAGTCACTGAATCAATCCATCTCATAGAGGGTCTTCCCCTTCTGTGCCGTCCCTCCACCCTCCCAAGCATGATGTCCTTCTCCAAGGACCAATCCCTCCTTACATGTCCAAAGTATGTCAGACGAAGCCTCAGAATCCTTGTCTCCAAGGAGCCACCTGGTTTAACCCTTTCCAGGATGAATCTGTTTTCCTAGCAGTTCATGTAATATAAGACTATATAATATATAATATGTAATATATATTCCTTGGACACCAAAAAGTAAAACCAAGTGTCATACAAAAGTAGATCTTGTACACGTTAATCCATTCAGCAAATTCCTTTCACAAACAATGCCTGCCACACTTTGTGTAGCGGGACCTCGTCTACCAGGATGTTCCCAGGGCTCCAATGTGCTGACCGCTTTCTTTCTGAAGTTGGAAACTTCAGCTTTGTTCAATACAGACCGAGTGACTATTCATCTAGTTTGGCTGCTTTCTGGTTTTTAAAGTGATATTTTGTAAGATACAAATGGCTTCTGAAGAGTTGCTCCTAGGACCTTTTTTATTATAGGCAATTTAATCTGTCAGTCATTGCCAAGGAGCCGAAACTGACTCGTAGCCGACCCTTGAGCAGGTTTTCAGAGGTTATAAATCGCACATAAGAAGAATGTCCAAGGGAGCTCTGGTGGCCTAGTGGCAAGAAGCTGCAACTACAATCCCAGAGGTGCACGGTTCGAATCCACCAGATGCTCTGCCGGGGAAGGAGGGGCAATCTCCTCCTGTACCAGTCAGATCTGATTTGACGGTACACGCACACAAAAAATAATAATTTAATTAATTAAATCAACAAAGACGAGACTTTGCTTTTACATGACAGAGACCACCAAAGATCAACCAGAGACACAATGAGTGGTCATGAATAAAAGGATTAAATCATTTCACATTAAGTGCTATTTGTAATTCTTTACTAATTATTCATTATTTTTATGTGCTACTGAGTTGCCTGTGACTCACAGCAACCCAATTTACAATAGCTCTGAACTCCACCCTATCCTGAGCCACTCTCCCAAAGTTTATTACTGTGGGTATAAAAAATTTAAAAAGTAGTGAAACGAAAAGACAGCATATTTTGCTACTTTGAAAGGCAACAGAAACATCCATTCTTTCTCTGCAGGTCATTAGGCAAAGCTCAAGGGCAGCTTTCCTTACTTGTTTCTACAGTGTATTAAAGAATAAGCTCAGGTTTTAAAAACAAGGCCTTTCATCAGATTCCAGTCCAATCAATAAGCTGGTATTGGCTCAATGATATGATTCAACATTTGCTCCATAACCCTAACTGAACAGCTAAAACACACTGTCTCCAACAGTGCTTCTAATGTACCAGTGTTTACAAGCTAACTGCTGAACTAGATTAAACTTCAACAAAGCTCCATGTAGATCACAATTCTCCCCACAGGACTTCTTTCCAAATGAACTATAGAGAGACACTTGTTGCTACACAGAAATTAGCTGAGATGTCCTAAGAGCTGTACAAGGAGCTACACTGAAAGGAGTTAGCCTACGCCTGACACTTATGTAGATGACCAGATGTTAAGATACTGAAATGGAAGTAATTTTGGAGCCTTTGAGAAGGTGTATTTTGTATGGCAGAAGGACATGAATCATTGGGGCCAGCAGAGGTGAACAGAGAAGGTAGCTTTCCAAGACAGCTTGACATGAGCTGTGAAATCCTGGTATTTGCACCCTTGAGAAGATTCCTGTCTTGACTGGGGGCTGTAGGTAGTGACTCACTCTTTCTCACTCTAATGAAATCAGGTGCCATGTTATAAGTTGCCCTGTAGAGAGATCTATGTAGCAAGTAACAGAGTAAGGTGATTTAACAAATCATCTAAAGCCTCCTGCCAACACCACATGGTTGAGCCTGGGAGCAGATCATCTCCAGGCATGTTTTCTGACGACAGCAGCCCTACCTCACACCGTGACTGTAGCCTTCTGCCCAAAGCCAGAGGAGGCAGCCAAATGGCTCCAGAATTCCAGCCCCACAGAAAGATGAGGAAAACAATGCTGATGCTGATGTTGTGACCCTCTAAATTTTGCAATACTTTACTCCCTGGCAATCAATACCCACTAAAATATTGCATCTATTTTACCACTAAAAAGTATCATTTCACCATCATCATTCTACACAGTGGGGTGGGGGGTGAACAATTCTGGAGAAATGTCTGGGTTGTTTACAGTTAAAATTTCAGGGTATTTTTAAAAACAAACTTTCAGTGATATTAATATCTCTGACTTTTCCATCATTATTATTAAATTTATTAATATAGGAAGTTACTGCAAGCTTTTCCAAATTAAGATTGAGCTGGCTATGAGAAGTCTTTAACTTTGTTCGTAGGTGTAGCATATCACAGGCCTCCAGCAGTGTTCCAAGTCTCAATTTGACAGACAGGAAAAAAAACAGAAAACAAGAAAATCTAAGATATATTTTGCTTTTGGAAAATCAAATGCAGACACAGACTAAAACCTCACTTCCTTACAATAATAAATAAACGGAAAGTCCTTTGGTTGCAAAGTTTACAGAAAACTTCCTTACCTTGGATGCACTGAAGGGTTCCATCCTCCGCTCTGATTGTGAAAGTCTCACCTGGATTAACTTGAACGAGAATAACCTGCCAAAATAACACATGAATTTCAAGTCAATCCCACAACATCAGGGAGTCGTCTTCAACACTTCTATCACCTACATTTATGCACTTGACAGGAAGTAGGTAGCACTGAATCTTGTATAAATACAAAACACGGGGCTTAGCTCTCAGACCTTCTTCAAATGTGAGGCATGCAGGGAAAAGACAGACACTCATGAGTAAATTCTCCTATGCTTATATTGTTATAGAAGAATCATTTTTTTAAAAAAATAAGCCTTATCTTTGAAAAGCACATTTCTTTTTCACCAATTTAAAAACAACAGGTAAGATGAAAAGTCAGAAAATACAGTGAAAAGAAAAACATGAGGTTTTGATCTAACGCACTTGCAAACAGTTCCCAAGTGTCTATTACTCATCTGGGTTCCGCAGGGCTTCTGTGTGACAATGCAAAGCAAAATGTTCAGGGAAAATACAGGTAGCTGAATGGTATAAAATAAATAATATTGCAAGTGGCACCCAGGAACACTCAATTTATTTATTTTTTTTTTTAAATTATGAGGGTAGGTGTGTCATAGGCAGCAAAACTGGCTGAGGACAGGGCATGGTTCAGAGCTATTGTAGATAGGGTCACTAAGACGCGCAGGTGACTCAACTGCACTTAGCAACAGTGACATGGCCTAAATGTCAGTGTATCAGTCTTAAGAATGTATTTAACATAAACATTAAGTAGAAGGCAATATCCAAAATACCACTAAAAACAAAAGTATTCTCTCCCTGCCCTCCACCCATTTTTTCAAAAATATATTTTTTTTAATTTTAGAGTTTACAGAGACTTGGGTTTTCCATTCATTCACTGCTGCACCCATTTTTTAAAATTGGCTTTCTTCATTCATTTATATACCTGTTGGGTTGTAACATTGATTTCCAAGGCCACTGAATTTAATGTTTTATCAAATCATCATTCTATGTGCTCCTCTCCTCCCCTAGACCCCACTCCCTTCCCACCCCTGTGAACCCTGCACAATAATTTCTATCTCTAAAGCTTCCCTTTGCTTTTCCACTCAGTCAATCATGCATCTCTTGGTCCATACGGTTAATTACAATATACACACTGTTAATTACAATATACACACTGTCAGATGCTCTATTGATTCACTGCCTTCCTTCACTTATTCCAATAATGTATCTGTTTATTTTGCACTCTTTTCCATTCACGTTCTACTCTCGACCCTCCTCCCAGGTAACTTTCAAAAGTGTCATCATTTCTGTTCTTGTCCAAGGATAACACAAGGGAAACATCACTAAATTATCTCTAACTCGAGAAAAGGACACAACGGAAACCTAAAAGCTGTAGTTACGGGATGACCTGGCTGACATAGGTAACTGGGAGGATCTTGGTCTTCCTTTTACCCTCGACTTCTTGCCCCCGCCTGCGAGTGCTTCCAGCAGCCTGTCTCTAAGTGACATTTTCCTTGCACTGTTCCATCTCTGCCCACCACTCACCTTACTCCTTTCCTGACCAGTGAAAGTCTACTTCTTGTTACCCATTTAAGAAGTACTATTAAACCTTCAGGGCAAGTCAAATTCCCCATTATACGATCTCAAAAAAATATACACTTCTCCCTAAAATTTACAGCTGTAACTAATTGGTTCATCATACTGTAACTAAATAATCACTTTATCGCATGTCTTTGCCCATAATCCAATTTCAACCTGGGCAACATCCTATTGCCTATCAAAGTGTTTGAACCAATAAAACCATAATAATGTCACTGTTGTTGTTATTGTTGTTGTATACCATTGAGTTGGAACCAACCAATAGCTGACCTTATGGTGAGTGTTCAGGGGCAGTTAAATCGCAGGAGAGATGCCCATCTAAACCCTCAATAGCTATGACTTTGGGGGACTTCACTGACTTGCCACAGGAGACACTGTTGGGCTATTAAATGTTTTAAAATTGAAAAACCATAGGCTCATTTAAAGAAAAGAAGACCAACTTCCATCTTGGTGCTTCTCCTTAATTTAAATTTTAACAGTTTATTTCTAGGCAATTTATTTCCCTATAGCAAGGAAGCTCCGCTGGACTACCTGGGAAGGAGTTGTGCCAGAGGCAAGCAGTTCCGTCAGTCTTCTCCAGCGTTATTTACGGCCTCTGACTACAATGAGTTTGTACAATAACTGTATCAGTGCTAACTTCCCATTTTCAGTGTATTCCGACTATTCCATTTCAAGAACTCAGAAGGGAATTATGTCAGATTTCCACTGTTTTCTTAAAACTAACCTCTAGAAATCATTCCTTTAACATGAAACTTTTTTTCAATTAACTTTCTATTTTTATCAATAGAGAACTTAACTCAATTACAATGAGATAAAACAACACTTCAATAAAGATTATCTATGTCCTTGTAAAAAGTCTTTAGCCTGAGTCTAGTATGACTGTACTAGAGAGGAAGCCATCTGCTTTTTGTTTAAATCCCGAAGGACAAGTCTATAATATATGTCTGTGGAATTAATTAATTGGAAGGTGGGACTGGAATCACTAGACACCAAAAACTCAGTGTTCCAGATTGCCTCTAACAATCCCAAACTCACATGCTCTCTTCCACTACCCAGCTGTCAAACAATGTGCCTTTAATATAGGGTCTGAAAACACAGGTCACCATTTTCACGAAAATTCTGGGCAAAGAAAAAGTATTTCTGAATCAGAGCGTGTTCCAGATTCTGTCATATTATCTGATTATCAGATTGCAAGAGAATGGTCTGTCTTAGTTCCTTAGTGGTTCCTGAATTCAAAGAATGGCCTGCAGGTGCACAATCACCAAAATCCAGTTACTCCTGACCCCTTCTGCTAACGGAGGCCAACTACCGATGCACTCCTCCGCGCACACAGTCTACACACACACACACACACACACACACACACTTCTTCAGGCGAAGACTCAGCAGGGCTTTTAAGTATCCTACAAAAATACCTCTTTTCAAATGTTTGGTTCCCATCATTTTTGCTGCTGATGAGTTGCTATGGCAACCAGATTATAATCTACTGAGTTACCTCAGAAACCAAGCAAAGTGCTGTGCCCCAGTAAGAGTTTTTTGTAGTAAGAGCAAAAGTCATTATTTGAACAAATGGTATTCACCTTGACACTGACATGCTTTAAAAGAAAGCATTCTATTATATTGTTGGCCACTGGCCACCTTGCCGCTTCCCCTGTCAATAGAGCAGAGAGAGAGAGAAAAACAAAGTTCTGACATACACCAGGCCAGTGATCTCTCCCTGACAAGACACATGAATGAAACGGCAGCATCAGACCTTGTATCACGCAGCCTCCAGGAACATGAATCACCCCGGCAGGCTGCGTGGCGTTTACTCTTTTGGATCATATAAGCCACCAGCCAGTCTCTGTCTCTGTCTCTCTCTCTACCTCCCTCCCTCTCTCTGTTCTCTTTCTCTCTCTCCCCCCATTCCTCTCCATCTCCAAACAGAAATAATGATTACAAGTTCTCTTCTAGGACACAAAATATCACTGTCCAAACCTCCTCATGTTTTATCCACTCACTAAGCATTTCCTGCTTTTCCAAAATCAGCTTTAAAAAGTGATTCACAGTGTATTCTGTTAAGTGTCAAACACAGAATAATAGAGAGACAAAGCCTCCAATCTCTGGTGGGTTCGTTTCTTTCCACCATGTTGGACCATGTTAATCAAATCACAGGATCATACTTCAGGCTACTAGTGCTTCGTCAGATCTGTTTTGAATCCATTAGTGGTCCATGAACCAAAAAGCCTGAAACAAATAAGCAGATGCAGCTTATCACGGCTTAATGAAAAATAAATGAGCACTCTTGCAAAATCCAAAAACTCAGTAAAAGAAGGCGTAGAATTATTGAACAAAAGGGTAAACACAGCATCCTGGGAATCCATTGGTCCCCCAAAAAGCTGAAGCAGATGTAGCAATTCTTTCCTGAAAGGCATCAATCTACATCTTCACTTTTCACTCATTAGAAGAAGAAAAAGAAAGTTACGTTTGCTGTTTAAATTCTGACTGACTGGCTAACCAGAAGATCAACTTTCAGGAGCTGAAAGTTCTCAGGGAGGCAGATTACTACCTAAGGCCTCATATAAAAAATGACCACCCATCTGCCTAAGATATCACTGTGTTAGTCCATCAAGGAGGCTTCTGCTGGGAGAAGAGGATTTTCTGACGGACCCAAACAGATACTACATTCGCAGAATTTGAAAAAGTTCAAGTGAATACAGACACGAAGGTAGAAAGTGCACTGGGAGCAGCGATCTCATTTCACCGCATGAGTCTGTCCCCCTTCCACACGCTGCATGAGTTTCTCCCCCTTCATACTCCGCAAGCCGGGTCCTCCTCTGGGCCGTTTCATGTGTAAATGAACACTGCACACCGAGCTAGCTAGAGTTTGTTATTACCCACAGATGCCTTCAGGGGAGGAAAAAATGATGCAACCTAAAACCAGCAGATTTCAAGGTAAAGAGGGTTTCTCTTCGGGAATAAGTAGTAACTTATGAAAAGGGGATCTTTGATTCCATGCCTGGAATGGCGGCGTCTCTGTTTCTGGTCTCATTCCCACACATGCACTCACATTTCATATCTGCAAAGTCCAGACAAATCCTGGTGAGCTCTTCCCACATCTTCCACAACGCACACCTTTCAGACCCTCCTGGTCTGTGTGCCAGGGACCCACCCACAGCTCACCAGGGCAAAATTTAAAGTAGGCCTTATTTATCTCCCAAGTCCTCTCTCTTTTCTAAAAATCCAGAAAATGGCTGCAAAGGATCATTAAGGAACACCTCTATCTCCAAGGTAAAAGTGTGTCCATTTAGAAAATGCCACAGGAGTGAACATAAGAGCAGATAAGAAGAGAAAGGTATTAGAAGATGGTAAGAAATATTAATCATTGCTTCAGTATGTCCACCTCCCTCCCCGATGACTGACCACAGGCTGACAGCTAACAGACATGTAAGACTGTACACGATGAACCCTCCGTGACCACTTACACA